GAGGTCTATTGTGTTAGGCTGAATTTTAATATATCGAAATTGGTCTGTTCGCCGATTTACTTCATTTTAACATGATCACGTGACACGTCACGTGATCAAAATAATATGTTAAGGCAAGGCAGGACGCCGAGTTTTATAACCAGGGAAAATTTAATTTCAGCTTGATGAAACAAATATAACAAGATATATTGCTCCCAACAATGATTCTACTTTACATTCCTGACCCAGGCTTTAAACAACTTGAGAGCTCCAAATTAGAAAAATATAAAGAGACAATAGAGTCATGTAAGGAATATGGAATATACAATCCTCGTGTAATCCAAATTTTCACTAAAACAGAACTTTTAAAGTTTTACAAAGTACAAACTTGGTTGCCCTAGAAACGTCAAGTCACACGGCCAAACAATTGACACACCAACATAAACGTTTCCAAACAAAATCACGAGTGAGACCACTGTAACTTGAAGGCTGTTTTTAAGGAAGAAAAGATTGGAACAATCATAACCACTGCCACAGACTTAAGGTAAAAACAAAGTTAACGCCGGTTAAAAATTTTCTTGCTATCACGAATTAATTTCCTCCTGATAATTATACTCGCTATATTAGTACAAAAATGTTTTGTTATTATTATTGTTATTATTATTATTATTATTATTATTATTATTATCATTATCATTATCACTATCACTATTACTATTACTATTATTATAATTATAATTATTATTATTATTATTTATTTATTTCGTTGCAAATCATTCTTTCAAGGATCGGTAGAAAGAACTAAGGGTGTGTGCTTAGCGCCTGCTTTGTTTGCTTCGCCATGTTGAGTTGAGAATTAGTTGATAGAACTTTCACAGCCGAGGTCTGCGCTCGCTTAAACAGGTGTTTTTTTTACCTACGCGCAAGCCTGATAGTCTTTCTTCTGTTTCCTTCAAAACTCGAATCGAATGGCCTCCAGGTTGACCGCAACCGCAAGTTTTCCGAGCGTAGTTTTTCAACT